ACCCAACTCACAAACCTGTCTATATCGTCCTGTAATTTAAACTTTTTCATCACCAACTTTTTGTCATTTGCGATGATTCCTCCTGCAGAGTGGTGACTCCCTCAAGGGCCCCCTATTCACTCTGAATGGACCACAAAATCTTCCTCCTATAAGTATTCCATCCCACCCTGGCAACTCCAAGATCCCTCTTCCTCTCCCTCCAAATAGGTCTCATCTCCCCACAACAACAACAATGAAAACAGAAGTTGCTGGAAAAGCTCTGGTGACGTGTTCTGAGGAAGGGTCACCAGATCTGAAACGTTAACTCTGTTTTTTCCTTCACAGATGCTGCCAGACCTGCTGAGCTTTTCCAGCAACTTTTGTTTTTGTTCCTGATATACAGCATCCGCAGTTCTTTCAGTTTTTATTTAGACCTCATCTCCCTTCCCTGCCGAGTGATTCCCCATATTTATTTGGTCCTGGACTCCAGGAATTAAAATCTGGGAACTGCTTGTATTCTTGGTTCTGTCTGTCTCTGACATTGGGGCTGATCAGACTCAATTGAGAGGTCAAGTGAAGGGTGGGATTTTTGTCTCCAGATAATTCATGCATCTCAGAAGCAGCACCATTCAGAAAATCCTATCATTTTCTACTTCAAATTACCTATTTTTACTGGAAGACTGGAGGTCTGGATTGAACTTCTATCTGCTTTTTCCAAGAAACAATCAATTCAGATTTAAATCTATTTAAATAGTTAAGTTCAAAACTCCAGTGCACCACTGACAAGGCACAGGCTAGGATTGTGATTGAATACTGTCAGCCTGCCTTGATCAGCGTAGCTACAACAACTTTCAGGAAACTTAACTCCTTCCAGGACAAAGCAATTCACTTCATTGGCATCCCAACCACTGCTATAAACATCCACTCCATCCGCCACCAATGTATGTGTACCCGCCTACAAGATGTATTGCAGCAACTTGCCAAGTCTCCAACTTCCAAACCCATTACCTATATCACCTAGTAGGACAAGAACAGCAGATGCAAGGAAACATCACCACCTGCAAGTTTCCCTCCAAGCTGCACACAATCCTAACTTTGAGTCATATCACCATTCGTTTTGCTGTTACTGGATTAAAATTTTGAAACTCTGTTCCTAACAGTACTGTGGGTGTCCCTACACATCAAGGACTCCACCAGTTCAAAAAGGTAGCTGACCATCAACTTCTCCAAGATAGTTGGTATGGGCAACAAGTTCTGGCCAAACCAATAATAATAATATTCCATGAACAAACAAACCATCTGCTCGATATTTCTAAGTCCCATTTAAATGTTGATTTTTTTTTTAAATTCATTCCTGCATGGTAGGCATCACTGGCTGGACAAGCACTTCTTGCCCATCCTTAACTGCTGCTTGACTGACGAGTTTGGCGGGGTTATTTGTGTTGGTTTAGAGTCACATTCAGACCAGACCACATAAGGATTGCAGATTTCCTTCCCTAAAGGACAATAGTGAACACGATTGCTTTCTGTAACATTTGATAGTGGCTACATGGTCATAATTAGACTGGCTATTTAATTCCTAAAGCCACAGTAGCATTTGAACTCCTATCCTCAAAGCATTAGGCTGGGTTTCTTGACTGCTAGTCCAGTAACAGTATCACTACATGACTGCTTCCCTGCTTATTGTACTAAAATAGATTGCCTGGTCATTATCTTGTTTTGGAACTTGCTATTTGAAACTTGGCTGCTGTGGACTCCAAATGAAAACAGCAACTACACTTTTAAAAAATACTTCCTTTGTTGTAAAATTATTTTGGAATGTCCACAGATCATGAAAAGCACAACGTAAAGGAAATTTTTATTTTACCTAATTTCAGTTAGAGAAAACAGAGGTGCTGAGACCACCTTCCTGCTTTTGTGGCCAGTTATGATTTTAGAAAAGACTTGATATAATGAAAAGGCAGAAGAACTGCAGATGCTAGAAATCAGAAACAAACACAAAAACAGAAATTGCTGTAAAAACTCAGCAGGTTTTGGAGCAAATATGGAGAGAAAGCCGAGTTAATGTTTTGGGGTCCTTTAGGACACTTGACATTAGAATTAGAATTAGATTTTATTGTCACGTGCACTCAAATACAGGAGTACAGTGAAAAGTCTACAAAGTTGCCATTCTCTGATGCCATCTTGGCTACAAAACCGAAATTAAAAACATAGAGACAAAGTTTTTAAAAAGCCAAAAGGTAAGAAAAATGACCAGACCGTAAAGACTTACCTTAGATAGGTGTTTGGAACGCTCAGCCACCAATGCAGGCACCTGGGCCTAGTCACGCCTGAGTCTCGGTCAGTCTTGCAAGTCTCACATCGATTGTTGGGAGCAGCCGCCATTTTGCACATGGCCCCCGCTCTCGCTGCCATGCCAATGCCGCCGATTACTATGCCGCAAAAAGCTACAAACAAAAGAAAAATGAAAAGAAAAGAAAAAGAAGGAAAAAATAAAGAAAGCAGATGGGACTGTACAAGCCCCGGTTACAGAAACCTAACGCAGTCCTGCTGTTCCACCGCCATCTTGACAGATTAGGTTTGTTTACTTGAAATGTAGTAACACTAAAGAAAATCTATTTAGTTGCTAAACTGAGCAGATCCATTGCTGATGGAACCTTATGTACCCACAGAGCAGAATTTCATTAGGAAACTTATGCAGAATATTGCAGGTCCACTGCTAGTCTTTGCTGACATCGGAGGAGCCCCTCATGGGACAATTATGCCAACTCGGCTACAGTCTGACAGCTAAAGAGTACTGGTGTCAGCTTAGGAACAGCAATTGCATCACAAAAAACCCTTCATTGCAGTTAGTAGGCAAATGGCTAGTGGAACAAAAACAAAGTTGCTGGAAAATCTCAGCAGGTCTGGCAGCATCTGTGAAGGAAAAAACAGAGTTAACGTTTTGGGTCCGGTGACCCTTCCTCAGAACGGTCACTGGACCCGCAACGTTAACTCTGTTTTTTTCCTTCACAGATGCTCCCAGACCTACTGAGATTTTCCAGCAAATTTGTTTTTGTTTCTGATTTATAGCATCTGCAGTTCTTTCGGTTTTTATTTGGTTACTGGTATTGCAAGTTAAATATAATTCTGACATTGTGGTAAAGTCAAAGAGAACAACCATGTATTTGAATGAGGTTTACAGCTATTCCCAGGATAATCTGTCCTTTGAAATTATTATCTTCTGAACAGGAAAATGTTTAATTTACAGGAATTCCCCTACCTCTGTTTAAAGAGTGACATAAAGAGTGACATTTAATTCAACTTCATGACTGTAAGTCGTTTTTTGCCTTACTACTCCCCACCTAAGGGAGTTTACTGTTTTTCTGAGAAGGGTGCTTTGTCACTTTGGAATGTATTTTTTCACATAGCAGACATGACTAATGTGGTACACAGGGACTGTTGCTAAGACTCCAGCTATCAAAATATATATGAATGATTTAGATGAGCGAGCAAAATGTAACTTTCCATGAGTTATGAAGAGGATGCAGAGGTGCTTCAATGTGACTTGGACAAGTTGAATGAGGGGTCAAATACATGGTAAGTGAAGTATAGTTTGGATAAATGTGAGGTTATCCACTTTGATAGCAAAAACAAGATTGGGAAAGGGGGAAGTGTAACGAGGCCTGGGTATCCTTGTACACCAGTCACTGAAGGTAAGTAAGCAGATGTAGCAGGTAATGAATAAGGCCAATGGTATGTTGGCCTTCATAGCGAGTGGATTTGAGTATACAAATAGAGAGCAGGGACTTCTTACTGCAATTGTACCCAGGGCCTTGGCGATACCACACTTGGAGTATTGTGTACAGTTTTGGTCTCTTTATCTGAACAAGGATGATCTGACTATGGAGGGAGCGCAAAAAAGTTTTTTTTTAACAGACCAGTAAAAAACACCAAAGAACTGCAGATGTTGGAAATCGGAAACAAAAATAGAAATTGCTGAGAGAACTCAGCAGGTCTGGCAGCATCTGTGGAGTGAAAGCAGAGTTAACATTTCAGGTCCAGTGATCCGTCTTCAGAATAGAGACTAATGTGCAGATTCTTTTAGAAAAAAGGGTGAAATTTCTATATGTTTATGTTCAGAGATATTTTAGGTATACTGAAACAATGAACACAGAAAGTTAGAATGCAAATGCTCCAAGCAATTAGGAAGATTGGCCTTCAAGCAGTTGGAGTGCAAACACAAAGGCTGCATTTGGTGAGGCCACTCCTGGAGTACTGTGCACAGTTTTGGTCTCCACATCTAAGAAAGCAAATAGTTGCATTGGAGATGTTATGGTGAATATTCTCCAGGTTGGCTCATGGAATGAGAGGGTTATCCTTGACAGGGAGAAAATAGGGTCTAAACTCTTGCGTTTAGAAGAATAATGTCTAATCTCATTAAAACATACATGATTGCAACAGGTTGGACACTGAGAAGCTATTTCTCCTGTTTGAGGAAATCTAGAATATAGATGCACTGTCTCATGATAATGGGATGATCATTTAGAACTGAGTTGAGGGGAAATTTCTTAATACAAAGAGTTGTGAGCCTTTGGAATTCTCTTACCCATATGGCCCATGGTTGAAGATATTTAAAATGGACATATATATGATCTCTCATGGAACCAAGGGATATGATGGCAAGTGGGAAAGTGGAGTTGAAGCCAAAGATCAACCGTGACCATACTGAATGTTAGAAAAGGATTGATAGATCATATGGTCCACTCCTGTCCTATTTCATATGTTCTTGTGTTCCTGATTTACAGTATCCGCAGTTCTTTTGGTTTCTATTTTGTATGTTCTTGTGTTCTTTTCCTTTCTTCCCATTCTACTGAAATGTCAAATATCCTTAAGTATTCAGTTCCCAACCATAGTCATATTGCAACCACCATCATATTTGTACTATCAATTCATCCAGCTTGTTATGGATACTTCATGCTTTTAGATAAGGATTCTTTAATTAGCGTGACTGTACCTGAAGACTGTTTTCTGTTTTAAAGGTGAGCAAGGTGAAATAGGTGACCCTGGTGAACCCGGGAAAACAGGAAAACTGGGTCCACCTGGACCAAAAGGTATGGTGCATGGTAAACAGAAATATACCATAATTTTAATCTGCAGGAGTACTCTCTCCTTTTGCTTTGCTTCTTCCCGTCTTCCTTTTGCTGCGTCTACAATTTCGCATGCATTCATTTTCCTTGCTAACGTTTCTGCCAGGTAATACTGAGCATTTTATTTGTGATAAATTCTCTGTCAACAAATAGCACCCTCCTCTATGTATTTCAACTGTTTTTATAGTGCCAAAAAAAGGTGTCACCACTGTGCAGGGAAGTGGAGGTGCAAACTTGTGCAGAAACCTTTGGTATACTCTCTGACATTTGTGCCTAGCAATGCTGGGGGAAAGTGAAACATCTGCCACATAGGCATGCAATACTCTTAAGGGCTCAGGTGAGGGCAACTTTTTAAATGGCTGGTTGCAACAAAACAATTGATCACAGAGAGAATTCTTTCCCTTCTCCACTCTGCACAACCTCCTACCGTACCAACCTAACTGAGCAATTCAGTGGTGCGGCCAATGATGATGACAGTCAGGGAAAATATTTAAATGGCCCCATTCTATGCATTCAGGCCAGGATCAAGGGCACAGTAAAGGTTCAATATTTTTACTAAGTTACATTTTGCAACTTTAGAAGATGAGTTTGTTTGCTTTGTGAATTCAGTGCTGTGTACTTCTATGATTCTACATAAATCCAGTCCCTGAATCAGTTTTGCTTTTAAACAATGCCACAAATCTTTTGATGAAAGGACTGGCTAAACTTTGTAGGATTAATTGAGTAGAACAATTATTGTTTTACTGCCAGATTACATTCACTCTAATTTACTTTTCAAGTCCACTAATGCGCATGGATTAGTACAAGGAATGATTCCTTAAATACTGACTGCTCTTTTATATCTTTCTCCTGATGAGCATTTCACACTGTATCAGTTCCATCCTGTATAAATAGGATTGATCATAGGTATGCACGTTCTGTAGTAACTTCATTTCATGTAGCAACAGTATAGTTAACAGAGAATAGTTCTATTCAATCAATCCAGATAAAGTTGAGTACTGTCCTTTCCATGTCAAATCAGTTTGCTGATGAATTTAGAAGATTTAACACAAAAGGCCATAAGTTTCTGAGATTTGATTCAAGGCACTTTGCTGTGGGAAAGCAGATTGGCCAGATACGTGTGCCAATGGAAGTGATTTATGCCAAGGTTAGAGGAGTAATTTGCCAAGTTCATTTTGGCAAACATGAACCTCGCCCACTCATTTGATGCAATGGAAATTTGCATTGCGTGCAATTTTCTGAGTATTAGTTGCAATAGTTAGAAAATGAATTACCTTGCATGAGTGGATTTCCAACCTGTGTTTTTGGCAGGTGAAAGTCTTGAGTTCCAGTCTGAATATGGATGGTTTTCAACCCTTTCCCGACAGTGGCATGTTGTCTTGATGATTATCACATTAGTTTATCACACACCTTCGTTTCCAATAAAAATTGAAACAGTTGTCAAAAATTATAACCTTCAGTGATCCCTGAAGCTTGGTCCATCGTTTGGTTCTTTATTCCTGTAATTAAGGCCAGGACAAGTAATTGCAATAGTATGTAAGTACATAAAACTATGGTTTTCTGATGTGATTGAGCATAAGTGACATTTGATTTGCTTTTTTTTATTATTCATTCAGCAGTTGTGGGCTTTGCTGGTTGGGCCAGTATTTATAGCCTATTGACTGCCCTTGAGAAGGTGGTGGTGAGCTGGCATCTTGAACTGCTGCAGCACATATGCTATAGATACACTCACAATGCTGTTAGGAAGGGAATTCCAGGTTTTTAATCCAGCGACACTAAAGCAATGGTAATAAATTTCTAAGTTAGGACGGTGAGTCGCTTGGAGGGGAACTTGCAGGTGGCAATGTTCCCATATATCTACTTGTTCTTGTTCTTGTTCTTTTGGAGGTTCATGGATCTGGGTTTGGAAAATGCTGTCTGAGAAGCCTTGGAGAAATTCTGCAGTGCATTTTGTACATTGTGCCACTGAGTGCCAGTGGTAAAGGGAGTGAATGCTTGTGGATGTGGTGCCAATCAAGTAGGCTGCTGTATCTTGGATGGTATCACACTCCTTGAGTGTTGTTGGAGCTGCATTCATCCAGCAAGTGGGAGTGTTACATCACACTCCTGACTTGTGTCTTGTAGATGGTGGGCATGCTTTGAGGAGTCAGGAGGTGAGTTAGTTGCAGTAGGAACCCTAGCCATTGATCTGGTTCATCAGCCCATGGTTCATCCAATTCCGTTTCTGGTCAATGATAAATGCAGGATTTGATAATGGGTGCTTCAGTGATGATAATGCTATTGAATGTTAAGGAGTGATGGTTGGATTTTCTCCTGTTAGAGATGGTCATTGTCTGGCACTTGTGTGGCACAAATGTACTTGCTAATTGTCAACCTAAGCTGAATTTTGTCCAGATCTTGCTTCATTTGGACACGGACTACTTCACTATCTGAGGAGTTGCAAATGGCACTGAACATTGTATGCAATTATTAATGAACATCCACACCTTATGCTGGAGGGGAGGTCATTCATGAAGCGGTTGAAAATGGTTGGGTTTAGTTTAGACACTGAGGAACTCCTGCAGAGATATCCTGGAGCTGAGATGACTGATCTCCAACAGCTAAGACAATCTTCCTTTGTAGCAGGTATGACTCCAACCAGCAGAGCATCACTCTTGATGTCCACTTGGTCAAATACAGTCTTGGTGTCAAGGTTGGTCCCTCTCATCTTCCTCTGGAGTCTGAACCAAGGATGCAATGAGGTCAGGAGTTGAGTGGACCTGGTGTAACCCAAAATGGGCATCACTGAGCAGGTTATTACCAAGCAAGTGCTGCTTGATAGCACTGTCTGTAACACCTTCCATCACTTTACTGATGTGGGACTGTAGACTGCTGGGGCGGAAATTGGCCGGGTTAAATTTGTTTTGCTTTTTATGCACAGGACCTAACTAGGCAAATTTCCACTTTGTCAGATGGATGCCAGTGTTGTGCTCTAATGACTAGGAGCACAGCAAATTCTGGAACACACACCTTTAATAATTTTATTGCAATGTTATCAGGATCTACAGCCTTTGCAGTATCCAGTGCCTTCAGTTGTTTCTTGAAATCATTGGGAGCAAATTGAATTTGCTAAAGACTATTATTGATGAAGCTGGAGATCTCTGTAGAAGGCCAAGATGAATCAACCACTTGGTACTTCTGGCTGAAGAACAGTTCTGAAGAAGGGTCACTGGACCTGAAGCATCAACACTGATTTCTCTCCACAAATGCTTCCAGACCTGCAGAGTTTTTCCAACAATTTCTGCTTTAGTTCTTGTTTCTTAATTCGATTTATGTTTTATTGAATTCAAATTCTACCTTCTGCCACGGTGGGATCCCCAGAACATTAGCAGAATTTCTGGATTATTCGTCTAGCGATAATACCGCGAGACCATTGCCTCCCCCATTCAGTTTTCCTGTCCTGATTAAATCCATTCAGGTACTGGATACAGGAATATGATACCACACTCTTGCTGCAAATTGCCTTCACAGTCTCCAGCCACATCATCTTGGTCTTGTAAGCAGGCTCCTTTGTCCAATTGGGTACAGAAAGGGATCACCCTACAGACCCCTGCACATTGCAGCTTGAGGTCTAGGAACCTATGAACTGGGCAACAGCCATGTACATTGGGAAATCATTAATACAGATGTTTCTTCTACACCATTTCCATATCATTCACTGCCATCTTCACAGTGCCCCTTTAAGTAGTTCAGCTGGATGGGCTGGAAACTCTCCAATTGCCCGGTTTAATACAGCAACACTCAAGAAGACTTGCAGCATCCAGAACAAATGATCCTGTTTGCTTGGACCCCATCCAGCACACTAAATCTTGACTCCCTCCACAACCATCTGCATTATGCACTGCAGCAACTCACCAAATGATTCTTCATGATACTAAAATAGGTGGGAAAGCAGCCTGTGATAAGTAGATAAAGACTTCACAGATGGACATTGATAGGCTAGGAGAATGGGCCAGAATCTGGCAGATGGAGTTTAATGTGGATAAGTGTGAGGTTGTCCAATTTGGCCAGAAAAGCAAAAGGGTAAATCATTATTTAAATGGAAAGTCGATTCAAAGGGTATCAGTGCAGAGGGATCTGGGCATCTCTGTGCATGAAACACAGAAAGTGGGTGTGCAGGTACAACATATAATAAGAAAAGCAAATGGAATCCTAGCATTTTTTGCAAAAGGACTGGAGTATAAAAGTTAAGAAGTGTTGTTACAATTATATAAGGAATTGGTGAGACCCACATCTGGAGTATTGTGTCCAATTCTGTTGTCCTGACTTGTGGAAGGATGAAGTGGCACTGGAGACAGTTTAAAGAAGGTTCACCAGGTTGATTTCAGGGTTGAAAGGGCTGTCATATGAGGAATGGTTGGATGGCTTGGGCTTAAACTCACGGGACTGCAGAAGAGTGAGGTGGGAATCTGATTGAGGAATATAAAAGGGTAAAGATGATTTATAAGGTGGATGTGGAACAGGTGTTGCTTATTGTGGGACAGTCTCAAACAAGATGGCATAGATATAGTGAGAGGAGGTAGGTTCAAAACTAAGATGAAGAGAAACTACTCCTCCCAGAGGGTTGTGAACTCAGCCCCAGAGTGCAGTGGAGGCAGAATCAGTCAACAGATTCAAGCAATAAATAGATATGTTTCTGATTTTAAAAAAGCAGGATAAAGGGCAATGGGGAGGAGGCAGAAAAGTGGAGTTGAGATCAGGATAAGACCAGCCATGATCATGTTAAATGGTGGAGCGGGCCCGAAGGTCTCAGTTCCCACTCCTGCTCCTCATTCCTGTGTTCCTATGTTCTTCAGCAGTCAGCCAGACCCATGAATTTTACCATCTCGAAGGTCAAGGGCAGCAAGCACACTTGAATACCACCACCTCCAAATTCCCCTCCAGGTTACACACTACCCTGACATGAAAATATATCCCTTTCCTTTCAGTGTCATTGGGTCGACAGCCTGGAACTCTTTAATCAACAACATGGTGGGAGCACTTTTACTGCACAGATTGCAAGCAGTTCAGAAGGCTGTTCACCGCAAGTAATATTAGGGATGGGTAATAAACACCAGCAAAGTGCCATGATTGCAAAAAAAGCAAATTATTGAGCAAAGTTCAATGAACATTTAATCGCCTGCCAGAATAATCAAAGATAAGGTTAGACACAGAGGGTGGTATTTAATCGAGGTGATAGGAATGTTATTCACTGGCTTGTGACTCGGTAAGAGTCATATGTCACCTCCTTTGGGCAAGCCCACTATTTGAGTAGCTCAATGGCAGACCTCCTGGATGAATCCTTTACCTGGCCCCTTCCAACCTCCTGAAGAAGTGCCAGTCAGTCAGGAACTGGCAGTTATCCAATGCAGGCAGTGTCAATGACAGTAGCAGTAGATGCCAGCAATGCGCAAACCAGAAGCCCAGGATCAGTGAGGATACTACACCACAGATGAGGGAGAGTGGGATGGGATAGCAGCATGGGGGTTGTGCAGGAAGGCAATGGACTCCCCATCCACCACCTTCCCATTGTGTGTCCAAACCTTCCTTGGGGGAGGGAATCAAATTCCACCCAGAGATTCACAAGCTAATGCCATCTTATCCTAATGAATACTATGGTAACGTAATTAATATCAGTTGGAGGCTTTTGAGGAATACATAAAGCATTTGGCTATGTACTAGTTTGCATTTGTACTATTACTAGTAAGGATTTAAGTATGCCTCAGCATTTGTTGGATTTTGTTCTACTGTTACAACAGTGGTAAAATTCATGGGTCTGGCTGACTCTGCTAAAGAACATAGGATCATAGGATCATAAGAATTAGCAGTTGGCATTCAGCCCGTGAAGCCTGCTCCACCATTTAACATGATTATAGTTGATCTTATCCTGGTCCCAACTCCACATTTAAATGTGTATTGTTAGAACAGTAGAACAAAATTATGTTCAGTGTGTTAAATTACATCACAGCTAAGGAAAGTAAGTTCAGACTCTAAAAATAAATGTATCAATGGTAACTTTCCATTATTTGGGCTATTCCTCTTGTATGAGATTAAGATAAACAACTTCACCTATTGTATTACTTTGTCTATTGTGCCACTAAGCACAACTATGAACTTCTACTTCAGTTTTGGGGAATGCAATGGGAAGTTGACATCTGTGTTCGTTATCTTCCTTCTGCAAACATCTTTTTCTCATCTTGTTTTAACTGATATTGCACGTGCATATTTCTTGGTATTTTTCCACAACTGTTAGAGTTGAGATATCAGTGGCTTTAATCTTTATTTGTGTCCTTGTAAGAATTGTATTTGTTGGTCTGAACACTCTCAACTTTTCACTCTTGTAATAGGCGGTGACATAAGTCTGCTGAGAATGAGCTGGTTAATTTAAATGAAGCCCAGGGGGTTAAAACCTGTTGTACATGGGTCCTGAGGTGGATGTGGGGATGGTATGCCTCCACTTCACACACACACACACGCACACACACACGCACACACGCGCACGCACACACACACGCATGAGCACACACACATGCGCGCGCACACACACAAACGCGCACACACACACAAACACGCACACACGCACACAAACACGCAGACATGCACACACACATGCGCACATACACACACACACGCATACACACACGCACACACGCACACGTGCACGCACACACATGCGCACTTACACATGCACGCACACGCACACACACACACAGACATGTGCACACACACATGCACACACACACGCACACGCACACACGCACGCACGCACATGCACACATACACGTGCACACGCAAGCATACGCGCACGCACACGCACACACACACATGCACAAACATGCACACGCACACGCACGCACATGCGCACACGCGCACACACGCATACACACGCACACACACAATCACACATGCACAAACACACACACGGGCACGCACACACACACGCACATGCGCACACGCACACATGCACACACGTGCACACACACGCGCACACACGCACACACACGCAGGCACTCACAAACACGCACACACACGCACACACACGCAGGCACGCACATGCGCACGCGCACACACACATGCGCACACATACATGCACGCACATGCACGCGCACACACACGCACACGCACGTGCATGCACACGCACACGCACAAACACGCACAAACATGCACATGCACGCACACGCGCACACGCACGCGCATGCACACGCACACGCACAAACATGCACACGCACACACACGCGCGCACACACACGTGCACGCATGCACACAGAGACGCACACACACACGCACACGTGCACGCACACACGCATACACACACACGTGCACACGCGCACACACACACACACGCACACACACACACACGCACACACATATATACATAAATGCAATGTAGAGGAATTGAATTACAGTGGACCCCTTTAACTTCACAAGTAGTGGAAAACTGCCTAGTTATTGACTATTAGACTGGTCATCTGTTTTACACTCAGTTAATGCTACTTTATATTAATAGGGAATAAAATCCAATGGAGTACAAATCTAGTGATTAATCCAGCCCTGACATTTAACTGTGTACTTTTAAATTGTACCGTTGGATTTTTCCCAAACATAATGAAAACTTACATTTTTTTTCAGTGTCAAAAATCTTAGAATATATGTTCTTTAGGGACGAATTCTGCCGTCCATGTCCAGTCAGGCCTAAACGTGACTCTAGATGTACCAGCAATGTTAACTCTAAAATGGCTTGGCAAATGAAGAGCAATTAAGGATTGGCAACAAATTCTAGACTTATCAGCAATGCACACATCCTTTGAAAGTACAAATTTTAATCTCTGTCAGACCTAAACTGTAACCTTAGTTTTGTATCAATGGAATTATATTTAAGGAGACTTAAATTGTCCATGACCATTTTAATTATACTTGATACATCTGTTTATATTTTAATGATGGATTCAGTTGACCGTGAAAAGCTTAGCAATATAGCTTTGTATACTGATAGAACAACATTAAGCTCTGTCGAAAAGGTTGCCATTAATTGCACTGGATCAGGTTTTTAATCGAAGATCGTTGGCATTTAAATCAAACCGGAAGAATTCTTCTTTTAATTCTTTTTGCTGCTCAGAAATATAACATATTCTAATTTAATTGATTGTATAAAGTACACAGTGAACTGCTTTTTTGTCAGAATACCCGCCACTTGTGTCAATAGCTATGCTGCAATGTAATGCATTAACAAATTAACCTGAAACTTTACCTTTACTAAGGATTGATTGGTGAACCTGGTCAGAATGGAGAAGTTGGACGAAGGGGTAAAATAGGTCCGGTTGGTTTAAAAGGTATGTTTATAGTTTGAATAGTGTAAGAACTTTAAATTGCAATGTTTAGATGTAATCAACCATTTTACGTCTCAGGCAGTTGTTTACGTTATGGAACGTTATTAAAAAATAAACAAAAATAATTGTACACATAGAACATAGAACTGTACAGCACAGGAACAGGCCCTTTGGCCCATGATATTGGGGCAAACATGACACCAAATGAAAGTGATCCGTTCTGCCTGCCATTGGTCCATATCCCTCCATTCCTTGCATATTCATGAGCTTATCTAACAGTCCCCAAAATGCTCCTATTGTATCTGCTTCCAACAACATCCCCGGCAGTGTGTTCGAGACTCCTACAATTCTCTGTGTAAAAAACTTACCCCTCACATCTCCTTTGAACTTTCCCCTTCTAACCTTAATTGCACGCCCCCTCATATTAGACATTAAAACTCTGGGAAAAAAGATTCTGACTGTCAACCCTATCTCTACATTTCATAATTTTACAGACTTCTGTCAAGTTTCCCCTCAGTCTGCGCCGCTCAAGAGAAAACAACCCAAGTTTTTCTAGTCTCTCCTTATAACTCATATGCTCTAATCCAGGCAGCATCCTGGTAAACCTCTTCTGCACTCTCTCCAAAACCTCCATGTCCTTCCTGTAATGTGGAGGCTTTGGAGAGGTGAATTTACTATCTCTCATGTAACGTACTAGAATATATAGAGTGGAATATAATGGAATGAAAGTTCTTTTGCAAATGTTTAAGTAATTGCTTTACATTTGTTCAGTTAAGGAACAGTGCTTTATTATCATGTAATGATGAGTTTGTTCTCTGTTTCTTTAGTGAAACATAAACATTCTCTAGTAACACAAACTTTGCTTCACATTCTCTTTTCCGCATTTAATTTGTGTATTAGTGAGGAAAAAGGATAGTCTTGTGGTGCAACAGTAGTGTCTCTACTGCTGGGCCAGAAGATCCAGGTTCAAGTCCCACACCAGGTCATTTGAGCCACAGAGAGTGCATTTATAACAATGGACAAACAAGTTGGTTATCAGTCTGCAAATCCTCCCAAAAGGGCCTGATGGCAGGTGGTAAGAGTGGAAGAGTTTCCTGATGAGTCATCCAGAAAAAGAAAAGGACAAACCACTGTCGTACTTTGTTGCAAGAACCAATCCAATAAGCCTGTCCATGAGAAGCAAGGACAGACAGAAAGACAGTGAGAGAAGTGAATTAGAAATGATATTAACATATATTCAGTAAAAGTGACACTAGTATTGTATTTAATCTTAGATTTAAGTGCATGTGCTGCATTTCATCATTTTCATGTACATACTTTTGGTTCAAACATTTACACATATCCCAGTCAATCCAAATGACAGAAGTTAATTTTACACCTAAATAAATGGAGAAGAACAATTCAAATTAATTCCTGTGCCTCAGGATGGAAATAATTTCTGTGACTTGTGTGAAAACAGTTCAGTTCCTCTCTTTCGTTTTGATTTCGATTCAATCTGCAGATGCAGAAACAAACTGGGGACAGATTGCTGTGTTGTGCCACCTCTCATAACACCACACCATTGTTAGACCAGAGAATTGCTAGTTGTGCTAAAGCAGCATCTCTGCTGCAACAATTGTAAATAAGAGTATCAGAAAAAAAAAACCAGCTCCTTAACTGTGATGAAAACAGTGTTTTATCACCAAGTAAAATTAATAAATCAGTCCCAAAGACACAGAAAACATTGCACAATCCAGTAATAATGACGCATGCATAAATTCAGGAGTAAACATTATAGATGGAACTCCAGTATTCATAGAATCCCTATAGTGGGGAAACAGGCTCTTTGGCCCAAGAAGTCCACACTGGACCTCAAAGCATCCCCCTATAAACCCACCTAATCTACACATCCCTTGAACACTAGGGGCAATTTAGCATGGCCAATCTACCTAACCTGCACATCTTTGGACTGTAGGAGGAAACTCAAACACCCAGAGGAAACCCACACAGACATGGGGAGAATGTGCAAACTCCACACAGACAGTTGCCCAAGGGTGGAATTGAACCCAGGTCCCTGGTGCTGTGAGGTAGCAGTGCTAACCACTGAGCCACCATGCCATCAAAGACATCAGCACACTATAATTAAAGGTACAGATATAAATCTTATAAATTGCTCGTTTTCACATAATGAACATATTTTTGCAGTGTAGTGTATTCCTCCCATTGGTTAGATATAGTAGTTGTAATTTATTAACAAGTAGTTTCAAGCATGTTATACTGGATGCAGGCAATAGGCTACATTTCTTAAAACTGATTAATGTTGTACATTTTACATGATTTTTAAACTTTCTAACACATTGGGCGGAAAGTGACTGCCCTTAAAAAAATCAACTTGCTCATTTAGATCGTCAGAAGTGCTGTTCAAACCTTAACTATCCAAATATAATTTTGAACTTTTTGAATAAAATGTCAGATATAAGTAAAAGTATTTGTTGGATGGTATTTTCAAGATAATGGATGGATACAAGCGTTAACATAAAGGACAATTTGTCATATCTACCCTTGTTTGCTTATGAACATGTCTTGCAATTATTGTATGCAAATCATGTAGCAATACATTATTGTCATCAACATGTGATGTCAATTTGATGAAAATGAAGCACAGCTGTATTCTCCACAAAAAAACTCCAATTTTATTTTCATTTTAAAATAACATAATATTGTACAAGTGGAAATAACTAGTCATTTGTCTGTGATCTAAGATTCTAACTCATTTTGAATTATAATTTAGGTGATAAAGGAAATAAAGGTTACCCAGGACCTCCTGGATTGAAAGGTGAATCAGGTATTGTCTCTGATTTCTAAAATATATGATTTTCTATTCAGTTGTGGGATGTGGACATCACAGGTGGTTGGCGGTAGTGGGGGAGAAGCATATATTACCTGTCCCTAAACACTTGAGAAGCTGGTGGTAAACAGTCCACGAACCATCCAGCCAATGGAGTAAGTGACCCGTCCCCCACTTAGTATGATATGAGGACCCAAAACTGATCCCATTTCCATTGCAAAACCCTGCCTGAATCTTGTCAATTGGGTATACATCCATCCAGTACACAGAAATGTGATCTAACAAAATTTTAGATCGACATTCACCATGACCATGATGCATTATTTCTCTCCATTCACCTTGCCTACTATGTATCCTTTGACATCTCCTTCGAAGTCTTGCTTTTGTTGTACTGCTTTACTACAGACCGTGGCACTCATTCAGTCAGATAGCAGCGTAATCTCCACTGATTACTTCTGTAACCATCAGTATATCATGCCCTCGGAAGAACATCAAGGCAACCTTTTCTTCCTGATTTCTGTGCTGCTCCTGATGATGTTCTCTGCAGACATGGGGCCAGCTTTCCCATTTAAGCTGATACTGCTTATTGCGATCTCTCTTGACCCTTCCACTGCCTCTGTGAATTGTCCTAACAGAAAAAGACAGCCATACATCTATTTCTCAAGATGGCCTTATGATGACTGCTTGACTGAGCTCCAAAACTTACTAATGGATCGGATCAAGAGGGGTTGTTTTCACAGATGCAAGTGGAATGTCTGATTTGATTAATTGACAGCTTTACAGGGTTATAGCAAGTTATTTTGTTAAATCTATATGTTAATTTGGACAAGATTAAGAGCTGTGATATGAGAAAAGCTTCTGCCATTGATATTGTAGTGACTTTGATTAATACTTTTACAGAGTTGTCAAAGGAGCAGGTTTGCAAAACAGATTTTGAAATGGGTGTTTTCTTAAGCACATTTCAAAACTAGGCATTGCTATTATGTGGCTCGTTGGATTTTATAGTTGACACTGACTGAGTGAGCATGGAGGGTGCAAGGAGAAATAGAAGGGGTGTGAGGGCATGGGATGACATGAAGGGATGGAGCCATGAAGATGGTGTGGAGGGGTTCTGGTGAGGATGTAAGAGGAATGCAGGTATGGGGAGTGGGTGGAGCAGACGTGGTATGAGGGGTGAGGACTGGGAGCTAAAGACCTTTAATACAACCAGGACAAGATCTAAAAGAACTGAGGCAGACCTTCAAACCAGCTCACTTCAGCATTTGTCCACCTTCACGGCTGCATCCAAACTGTCTCTGGGATCACTGAGCCTGACTTGTTCCTACCCTCACCCTCACCTGAATGATGCTGTCAATTACAATCCAATTTGACAGTCTGGTGCAATGAATATATGACTACAAGTAACTGGATAGAAACTGCTTCTATTAGGACTCGCACAGACTTCATGGGCCAAAAGGCCTGTTTTTATGTATTTAATTCAACATAGGGTATCACATTACAACTGGTAATGGAGCTACAGATCTCATTAAATAAAAACCAAAAGAACTGCGGATGCTGTAAATCAGGAACAAAAACAAAGTTGCTGGAAAAGCTCAGCAGGTCTGGCAGCATCTGTGGAGGAGAAAACAGAGTTAACGTTTCGGGTCCGGTGACCCTTCCTCAGAACCTCAGTT